GCACGATGCTGGTCCCTGCAGCAGCTGCCACGTGACGCTATTCTGCGCTGCGCAAAGCAGCTGTGCTTTGAATTCTGGCCATAAAAGTGAGTATGGGAGCCCGGGCAGGCAGGCCAAACACAGAGCAGTGAAAAGAACCGGTTCGGTCTCCATTGCTCATTGCTGCTACCGGCTCTCCAGAACCAGGCAGAACTGGTCGAATACCACCACTGCTCTGAATATATATTGCAAGGAGTTGACAGAGATTTGAGAGGGCTATTTCTCCATCTTTGGCACTCCAAACAACCAATCAGAATAGAACAGGAAGGGACCTTGGAGGTCCCTCTGCTCAGGCAGGAAACCATTTCAGACAAGTGACTATCCAATCTTTTCTTATAAACCTCTAGTGGTGAAGCACCCACAACTTCTGAAGGCAAACTATTCCACTGGTTACTTGTCCTGTTAGGAAGTTTCTCCTTAATTCCAGGTTGCTTCTCTCCTTGATTAGTTTCCATCCATTATTTCTTGTCCTGCACTCTGGTGCTTTGGAAAATAAACTGATCTCCTCCTTTTTGTGGCAGCTTGTCCTAAAGCATCTTACTGGCCACTATAACAAACAAAATGTTGGTTTGATCCCACATAGTTTTTTTGCATTATTTTTATTTCCAAGAATTCTTCTGGGACCCACTATCCATAAATATTTTTAGAAAACAAGAGTATCTTGTTGCCTATTTGTCCAGGAAGAATAAATAAATATAAGTGAGCAGGGAGGCAGGAAGCACCCTGAGAGCTTCTGGGAGTGATATGCCATTTTGTTATCTGATAATGTTAGCAATGCAAAGGATGTTGCTTGCTACCTAGAGGATCTTCAAGACTAATAGTCATTGATAGAATTACTCTCCAGAATTTTATTCAATATGTCAAGCAAATGAGTGGCCATTACTGTCTTGTGGTAATGAATTCCACAGATTTAAGTATGAAGTACTGACTGAAAATTTATAACAGTATTCGCAGTGAATGCAATTTTTGAGGAAAAACTAGCTCCAAGCACTTCCAGTTAGGATAGTCTTGTCTTGTCAGCTTACAAATTGTCAAAATGTACTTCCAACTTTTGTATTTACCCTTCAGCATTGGTCTTTCACTGTAGAAGAGATACTGGCCAAGCCAGGGGGAAGAGTCAAACCAGGACTTAGTCGAGAATCCCTACATGGACACAAGAGACTGAAATCAGACTCTCCCCCTTGAATGCTGTTGAATCTTATCTAGTCTCATCCAACTGCAAACTGTTAGTCTGAGAAGATTCTTGTGTATAGGCTTGAATAATAAACCAGCTAATTGAATTCTTCACATGTGGACCCAATTGTTCACTCCTGACACCCACTTGTTTAAAAGCCAGAATGAAATGAACTTTTGTTTAGAAACATTTTCCTGCAACAGTTCTTCCCTGATGTGAACATTACTGCTCACGTACTTATTTCCACATGCACTATGAACAAGATTCCCTTCTCAGTCTGGCATTGCATTCATCCATGCCTAGCCAAGATTTACTTCATCAGTTTGTTAAATAAATTATAACTGGCTGGGTGCAAGCAACACATTAAATCACATACCGGTAGTAGAGTACAAACCACAATGGTTAGGCTCATTCAACTTGCTAAACCAAAATGAAACAAATTACATTATAGTTTAGGTGAACCAAGTCTGGAATTAATTTCAAAATACTCTGGAGTAAGCTCTGAATTACGTTTTGGTATCTATGAGGTTTTTCTCTCCTGCAGTGCAAATAACAACTTTTGATTAGTAATTTTCATCAAGATTATAGTATGAGAGAATAGGGTTAAATTTATTCCTTCTTTATTTCTAGGTTTCTAATTCCACTCTCTGTCTTCTGGACTATTTACCCTTTTAAAAATGTAATGTAATTTTACCTTTTATAATGCTTGAACTGTAAAGATGAATTTAACATTTTGATCTTGAGCAATTTATCAACTGGATTTGTACAGCATGATGGGCTATTATGTGGCACATTAATTTGTGGGTTGATAATATATATCTTGGTAGAGTGGTTTATTATTTAAGTCTAATATATCCTTCTGGCTACAAGTAATAGAACATAAAATAGTAGAGTTGGAAGAGACTTTGCAGGTCTTCTAGTCCAAATCCCCTGCCCATGGCAGGAGATCATATACTATTCTAGATTTTTGGGGGGCTTGAGGGGATGGATACATATGATCATAGAAAGAATAACAGAATAACAGAGTTGGAAGGGACCCTAAAGACCCCCCAGTCCAACCCTGTCCCTCCCAAGCAGGAAACCCTGCACCATTTCAGACAAATGGCTATCCAATCTCTTCTTAAAAACCTCCAGTGATGGAGCCTCTTCAACGTCTAGGGGCCAATTTTCCACTGGTTAATTGTTCTGTTAGGAAATTTCTCCTTAGTTCTAAATTGTTTCTCTTCTTGATTAGTTTCCATCCATTGCTTCTTATTCTGTCCTCAGGTGCTTTGGAGAATAGGTGGACTCCCTTACATTTTGGGACAGTATCATGTCACCCCAGTCCTTTTCACTAGACATTGAAATACCCAATTTCTTCAGCTGATTTTCATGTTTTTGCCTCCAGTCCCCAAATCATCTTTACTTTTTTATGCACTCTTTCTAGAGTCTCAACATCTTTTTTGTACTGTGCTGACCAAAACTGGATGCAATATTCTAAGTATAGTCTTACCAAACAGTGGTGGGATTCAATTTTTTTTACTACTGGTTCTGTGGGCATGGCTTGATGGGCGTGGCAGGGGAAGGATACTGTGAAATCTCCACTCAGAGGTGATATTTGCCAGTTCTCCGAACTACTCAAAATGTCTGCTACCAGTTCTCTAGAATTGGTCAGAACCTGCTGAATACCACCTGTTACCAAGGCATTATAAAGTGGTACTAACAGTTCACATGATCTTGATTCTATTCATTTGTTAGTGCAGCCTAGGACTGCACTGGCTTTCTTGGCAGCTGCAACATATTGCTATCACATATTTAAGTGGTTGTCCACTTGATCTCTCTCGCAGTTACTGCTATTGGGCCAAGTTCCACCTCTTCTCCCAAAACTATGAACCCCTCCAACCTTACAAGCCTTTGGGATCCATGAACTTAGTTCCTCCCCCATGCATTGGCAATTGGCCAATGTTTGGAAGCTCCAGCATGGATGTGTGATAGAGATGTTTTGTGTTTTTAATGTCTTCAACCTGGGTTTTTGTTTGTTTTATTGGTGATATTTTATATGGCATGTTCAGCATCCAGAGTTTCATTGGATAGATGTAGCCTTCAAATTTGATTCTTAGATTTTTATCTCTCCTTTACTACTTTATAGGTAATTCAAGGCATTGAACATACATAATAATCCTTTGTCAAACTATTTTCCTCACAACGATAACCCTGTGGGGTAGGTTGAGCAGAAAGTGAGTGACTGGACGAAATCACCGAGCAGGCTTTCATGCCTACACAAATACCTTAATCATTATAACAAACTGGCTTTTAAAAGATCCGTTCTTACTTTTGAAGTACATTTTATTTGATTAATTTATGGAGGTAACCATCTGACCTTTATATGACTCTGGGCAGCTTACAATAAAGTTAGACAAAATATACAATCTAAAAATTTAAAAAAATTGATTTATATAGCCTTTCATCTCCAGGCAGCTTACAATAAAATAGATAAAATACATATAGAATCTAAAAAGTAAAAAACATTTTATTTTTCAGTAACAACTTTTACAAAGTGAAGTGGATAATAAAAACAAATTAAGATTGCCAAATTAGTCATGACACTATCTTTATTTTCACCTTTGGATAGCTCTGGGCTTGGCAGGGCTAGGCTTAGTCCTAGATTATCTGAAATAACTTGTTGGGAGGGGGTTAATTCATGATTAATATTGAATCTTATTTCTATACATTATTTTAACTAATGAGACAAGGCAGTACTTAACTGTTGTGGCTGAGTTGAGCAGCGTTATAAATATTTAAATCAATCAATCAGATTCAAATCAACAGGGAACCACAATATTTCTGGCATAATCAACCTACCTTTTAATTCAACCTACCTCTTAAAATTGTTGAGGATAAAACTGGGTTGAGAATCCCATGTACGGTAGCATGCAATATATAACAATTCTGAAAGACAATAAAATATTATAGAAAAAAAAGTATTGACTCAGTTCTGAATTTATGAAGTACAAATATATCAAACTGTCACAAGATGGCCAATCTCAAATATTTTTCACAAGCATGGGGGGGGGGGGGGGGACACCTCTGTTACAACTGCCAGAAATGTGAGTTTATTCAAAACTGTGCTAGGGACTGAGGGGGAGAGGCTCCCCTGATATTTATTTCTGAAGGGTTAATAAGTTTAGAAGGGAATGTTTTTAACAGATCCTTGATTTTGTGTATCATCATCTTCACCCGTTAAAACGTTTTGCGTGCAAAACTGATTTAGAAAACCCGCTCACCGGAAGGCAATTAGAAAAATATGAGACGCTTTTTAAAAAAAGCTAAAATGCAGTGTAACGTTCTATGGGAAACCGAAAACCTCATCATATTTGCATAACTTGGAAAGCGCGCGGGGGGGGCGGGGGAGAAACGAAGAGTAATGCTGCCCGTTCTTCCTTTGCCAAACTTTTAGGGTTATAGAAAAGTAAACCAAGAGGCTTCTGCCCTTCCCAAGATGGCGCCAGGGCCGGCGAATAAATAAATAAATAAATAATGCCTCCAACGCGCGCTCGTACAGACTGCCTCGGGCGCGCGCCGGAGCGGCTCAAGCCCTGCTTTCCTTACATGGCCATGAGTTCGACCTTCCAAACATGGCGGCCACGCCATCGCTGGGCAATCCGAGCTGAAAGAAGAAAAGAGGAAGCGCAAGAGCCATCTGCGAAAGGAGCGCATGCGCCGAGGGAGTTGTGCGCCTGCGTGTCGCAGCGCCCGAGTGCAGTGAAATTCCGTGAAGGGGGAGGAGAAAGAGAGTGGGGGGGGGAAGAGAAAAGAAAGCTGAGGGGAAGGTGTTGGAGCGGCAGACGCGGGGCGAGCGGCAGCGTTGAGCGCCCTCCCGTGCGCGTTTTTCCCCCCCTGTCCACACACACACGCCTGGTCCGGCGCTGCTCCCGAATCCGCTCAGAATAGTTTCTCCTCGTACTTCCCCCTCCCCCTTATCCCCCTCCCTCCCCCCCTTGGCGGAGGGACTCGCGGCGCTGCTGTGGCGGCGGCGCCGGCGCTGAGAGGACGGGCGGGCAGGCAGGCCCCCGGCGGCGGGGTCGGCGCGAGCGGGGAGGGACGAGGGCTCGCCGGCTGGCTGGCTCGAGCCCGGCAGTCGTACGAGCGGGAGGATTAGCAGCAGCAGCTGCGCCGCCGCCCCAGACTCCCTCCCCGGGCACCGGCGGGGAGAATGACGGAGCTCCAGTCCGCGCTGCTACTGCGGAGACAGCTGGCAGGTGAGTCCGGGCGGCGGTATTTCAGGGCCGTCCCTGAGAACCGGTTGGGCTGAAGCGTGTGGTGTGTGGGGAGCCCGAGCCGGGAAGAAGGGGGCCGGCTTTGAAACGTGGTCGAAGAGGAGGAGGAGGAGGAGAAATGGGGAGCTCCGTGAGGCGGGCCGGAGGTGGTGATGGTGGTGGGGGGTGGGGCAGAGTTTCCAAAAGAAAAGTTGGGGTTGGGGGGTAATTGTGAGGTAAGACGCGGGGTAGGTTGAGAACAGGGCTTGGGGCGGAAGGGACCGGTTTTGGGGTCAAAAGATAGCCGGGGAAAAGTGTCTTTTGTGCCTACAATGGAAGACTGGTAATTTCCTGAAGAGAAGGCAGTAACTTCGTGTATTTCTGGGGGGAGGGGGAGAATATAGGGCATTGAGAAACTCGCGGGGCGGGGGGTGTCTTGATATTTTTCATACAGGCAAGGAAGAAGGGAGACTTGGGAACGGAGGGAGGTTTAAATATTGCCATGGTAGGAGGGCCCCGGGGGCAGCGACGGGCAACTAAAAGGCAGGCAGTATGGTGTCGAAGAGTTGGGAGGCGTGGTGCGACTAAGTAGATAGTGGGGCCAACGTGTTTAATTAGGGGGGGAAGCAGAGTTGCTCTTAACTTGGAGAAAGAGGTGTGCTGGTTAGTCAAAGAGTAAGAAAGGGGTGAGTGATCTGGAAGGAATGAGGGAAAAGGAAGGGGAGGTCATTGGAGTCATAAGAGCCGCTGGGCATTGGTGTGGTGTACAGTCGTGGGGAGGGAGAGAGAGAGAACAAGGCGCCTGTGAATCGGTTGGGAAGGAAGGCGTGATGGTAAGTGAAGGTGTCACGGGTGAGTCCTTGGAGTAAGAAACAGCCTCTTTGTGGAAGTTGAAGATTCAAAGAAAGTGCCTTGCTGGCTTTTCAACGCTGTCTAATCTTCCTGGAGCCTTTTAGTGCAGAGGCTGGCAAGAGGGGGTTGAATCTGGAGCTGTTAGAAAGGGGGAGTGGCTTGGAGTATGCAGAGGAAAGCTGGAGGTGCAGAGGCCCGAGTCCCAGACGGGAAATTAAAAGTGGTAAGGTTATTTTGTGGGTGTGGGTGTGTTATACCAGTCAGTTTGCTACTACCCCTGTAGAAGGTCATGAGGGGAATTGACAAATAATAACCCAGACGGAAATAGATATTTTGTGCCATACCTGATCATGTGAAGTAAAGTCAACAGTTTCAAGCAACTTGAGAGTTAACTAAGAGTGCCAAAATGAGGGAAAGACGGAAAGGGAAGACAGGTTAACATTTAGGATACTCTGAATAAATGAAAAGATGCCCTTTAGTTACCCAATTTCTCATAACTGAAAAATGTGTTTTCTCCAGTACTATGAGAAAGGTCACTTATTAGTGTGGCTTTCTGGGATATGTTTTAACTTCACAGGTAATCAAAACCTGTGGAATTCTCAAATGGTCCTCTTGGGATATCCTGTTGCAGAAGTGAATGATATAGGTTGTTGAATGGCTGGGATGGGAAGCAAAAACGTCTTGTGCAGTTAAGGTGGTGTGTAAAGAGCATATGGAAGATGAGGATATATAACACTTAAGAATGTAGAAGTTATTAGGCAGTAACTATTAAATGCATCAAAGATAGAAAAAACTTTTTCAGAAAGAGAAAACCTAGTGGGTTGTATACATTGCCTGCATCAGGGAAACAGGAGAAAACATGAATGCTGTAATCCTATGGAAGATGCTTGGCTATTGTTTATAAGGACTTGATTAAGGTTACACTTTAGACATTAGAAGATTCATTAATAGCTACTGGGCTCACCTGTTTAATATGCAGTCAAACATCTTATCTGTTTAGAGAAGATTTGTGAGCTGCTGTCTTGAATGCCTCCTGTGCAGTGCAAAATGAGATTGTACATTGCCTGTTTTGAACAAAGCAGAGTAGGGCTGACATCTGTGGAGTACAGTATTGGGGTGGGTTGCAGGGGGATTAATTATCATTGTTTCAAATTCATAATAGAGGAGCTATTGCAGTCTTCAACTTTTTTTTTCTTTGCTGGGGTTACTGCCAAGTCTATTCCTGGCTGTAATTGGAAATAAAGGACATAACTTGTCAGAGATCTTACCTGGGAAATGGGTGACAGAACCTGAAACCTAAAACAGGATTGCATTACGAATTTCAGGGCATTTGTAATCTATTACCGATTTCATTTTTTAAATTTCCATCTACAGTTACTCGCTCCCCCTTTTTCTTTGTCCCTTGACTGACCAGTCTTGCTTGACTAACATTTTAGCAAGTAATGGTGGGGGGAAGGAGACGGCTGAGCTTGGTCTGTCCTAGCAATTATATCAGACATGTAAGTATGTTGCCTGTATAATTAGAGTGGCATTGCATATCTAGTAGCTCCATACTATATGCTACTCACTGCCATATTAAAAAAGAAAGCAACAGCAATGTGAAAATAACAGAATGTGTCAGGGCTTTTCTTCTCATCTTGTGAGTCCGTAGGATTTTTTAAAAACATGCACATCTATGGCCTCTGATTTTTCCTGTCAGGAAGTTGAAATTCCTTATTAACATATTTTCTTAAAATTTGATGAATCAAACGTGAATACTTTTTTTCTGGTATAGAAACATTTATTTTATTACAAAGATAAGGAATAGTATCTATGCAAAAAGGCCTTGACTTAAAAGCACTGAATGGCTGTATAAATTCAGTTGAGACTGAATTCCTGCAGTAGTGTAAAATGAACTTATTAAATGTTATGGAAGAATTATTGCTGCATGAAAATAGTCCATAGGGCTACTCCAACATCGAAGTGTCTTCTAAAGTTATATTTAAACTTATAGATGGTGTAAAGAAATGCAATCATTTGCTGAAAAGTCAGAATCTTACAGTCAGAATCAAAACAGGGCAGATAGCTTTTTTTCAACAAAGGATTAAAACTTTTTCTACTGTTTTGCAAAATAGATATATATTTACATGGAATTTCCTTTTCAATGAATTGTGGATATTTGGGAAATTTAGTAAAATACAGGTAGTTCTTGTTCAGCAACCTTTTGAAGTTATAATGTCCCTGGGAAAAAAATTACTTACAACTGGTCCTCACACTTACGACTGTTGTAGCATCCACGTCGTCTCATAATCAAAGTTCAGGCGCTTGGCAACTGGTATGGTAGTTACAACAGTTGCAGTGTCTGGGGTCATGTGATCACCATTTGTGACCTTCCTAACTGCTTTCCAACCAGCAAAGTCAGTGGGGAAGCCAGATTTGCTTAATAACCATGGCAAAAAAGATTGCAAATCAGACATTACTCACTTAACCACCTTGTTTACCAATGGAAATTCTCATCACAATTATGCTTGTAAGTCAAGGACTGTATAAACACCTATAATACATCTATTCTGTTTGTTTAGAAAAAAAATGTCACAGCAAACTAAGCTGAGTTGGGACTTGTAGATATATGGATAGAGGGATACCAAACTCTATACTGTGCCTAAATGTGTGTGTGTGTGTCCCCAAAAATCAAATTCATCTTTATCAGTCTTAAGAAAAGTATATGAATATTTGCTCCTGAAGCTATCCACATTCAGCAAATCAAATATTCTGACACAGTAGTAAATAACTACATTTTTAATATAGTACAAGAAATTGCAACAATTATCAGATGATTTGTATAACAATGTTAAATCTGAAGCACACTTAACTTTCCACCATATCAAGCTGTACATTGAGAAACCAAAGTATCTGATCTTATGCAGTTAAATAAGAACAAGAAAGGCATTTTAAGAAAAAATCTTAATTATGATTCCAGTGTTCTTAATTGTTTCACTACTGCCAATATAGAGAACTTGCTGAGAGTTGTTTCCATTATCATAATACTGATAAGCTGTAGTTTGGAGATTTTTCCAGGGTACTAAACTAAAGTAATGATCTTAGTCTGCTTAGGTGGCTGGATAAAACTTGTAGCTTCTTTCAAGGCTGGAATAAACTGAAGCAATCAGTTTACATGCACATAAATAGAATCGTTTATCCTTTGAATGCTACAGGATGACTAGGTGTACACAGTTCATTAAGTTATAATGTATTTGGGTTTTGCTTAGTATTTTGTGTTTATCTAATAAGCTGTGATTAAATTATGCTTACTGTAGTATATGAATCAGTTTTGTGACTCTTACAAGAAACACTCCATCCTTCCTAAACATATGGCAGAATCCTGGCTGATCGTTTTTTAAATCAAAGTTGCTATTCTTTTAATGGAGACCTGCATTCAGTGGTACCAGTATGCATGTGAAATGCCCCAAGTTAAATATCTTGTGTAAAACTTGTGTAAAAACATTTAGTAGCCATTACTTTGGAGAAATTCTGTCAGTTGGATCAGTGATTAGAATTGGCATTAGAGAACTTATTAAGTTCATAATACTTTAAAGCTTTTGAAATTAGGAGTTATTTCTAGTATTCTCTGAAATCTAGTTTTAATTGAATGTAAGATACTATTGTACCTTGTTACACAACTCATTATAAATAGTACAGTATAGATGCCTACATTTATTTTAGAAAATTTATATAGCAACTCATATGTATGAACTCTGGATGGCTAACAACAATCAACAAAAACTATCATCAAACCTATTTCTAAAAGCAAAATAAAAAAAATTCTCCAATCATAATTTGGGTATACCTTCAACTTCTTCATCGTATTTTCTGTTCCAGCAAGTGAAATTACATGTATCAATATTCATTGGTTCTTTCCTGCTGATCTCCTAAACTGGTAATGGCATACATACAAAATAATGATTTATGAGTGCTTCTACCTTCTGGCAAGTATGAAGGTCCCATTCTCATTCTGGAGTGCAGGAAAAGGCAGTTATTTCTGCAGCAGTGTAAATCTGTGATCCCTCACTCACTGCTCAATGTTCCAGGGTTAGAACTGAACCATTAAGATTGTGTTAGCAGCCTAATAAGCAAGACCTACTCTTTTTTGACTGCAAGCATTGAGTGACATT